CTGAAGCGTTGACCATTTCTGGCCGGCAACTTTCAGCGTCATTAAGCCGCTGCGCCACCACGTCCCCCAAGCAGGGATTAACAACAGACAAACAATCAAGCAGAAAACAATGCCCTAATCAAGGAACCACCAAGGAGAAAACCGCACCCCCACCAACACTGGCAAGTCAAACTACTGTATATAAACAGGGAGCAAACCCCTCACTCAGTAGCACTGATGGTGTTTCATTACCTAGTCAGGTAATGAAATGTCTGCCAGCAAACCACCAAGCTCAGAGAGCACCAAGGATTCCACAGTTCAACCCTGAGCTACATATATTCTCTTCTATTGGAATAGAATAGCAGTAAGAGGACAAAGGAGTTACCAAGATTGTACAGTTACTGCTCAGTATATCGTTGATGACAAATTAACCATAAAAAACAAAGTTAAATTATTTTAACAATGTGAAAAAGGATTTGAATATCTGAACTAACTGCCCAAATCTCCACTATTTGTTATTTAAAAATATAAAAAAGAAGAAAAACTACTAAAAACATTGTAGATAAATATTAGTTTCTAACTTCTCCTTTGTTGTACTCTGACTGATGTACAGTATTTATAGATATTTAATTTTTTTTGTGTTTATGGTTTCAATTCTTTTTGTCAGTTCTTTTTCCCCTTAAAAAACATACTCTAAAATTCTTATATTTGCCTTGCTGCATGATATATAGTATGTATGGAAGCCATTCTTGCTTGAATTTCATTAAACTTCTGTTGCGAATGTATGATGTTAATTTTGCCATTACTGCATATTCCGCAAGTTTAAGTTCCCAAACTGATATCAGTAACATATCTCTTTTCCAATATTGTGCTAAATTTATCCTTGTGGCCATGAACATGTATTTTAGTAAAATGTGATATTTTTGTTAATATATTTTGGAATTATGCCTAGTAAAGAAAAATATGGTTTTGTTTCCAATTTGCTTTCTAAAATACTCTGCTGCGTCTTTCTTCCTAGTAGCTTGAAGTTTTTTTTAACAAGTCCACCACATATGATAAACATTTCTTCTCTCATGGCATTTCCAACATTTATTACTGTATAATTTGTCTATCTTGGCAATTATTGATGGAATTCTATGCCATCTATAAAACATAGCAGTTTTCTCTTAAGTTATAACTTGGGGTAAACGTTATAGAACTGTTCCATAGTTCTTCCCATGGTTGTGTTGTGATCGTTTCTTTAAAGTTTTGTATCCAATTTATCATGCATGTTTTTATTTGTTCAGTGTCTGTGTCATATCTGAGTAACAGTTTATATATATGTCCTAGTAGGTAGTCTTTATTCTGTATGAGCATTTGAAATTCTGACATTTTTCTTAGAAGCCCTCTCTCATTTTTGAAGTCAGTTTTTATTCTTCCAGCAATGTGTGGGTACATCAAACTTAGTATGTTCCAGCCTTCTCCAAGTAGTTCTTCCTGTGTCTTTAGTCTGCTCACTGAGTCTTAGATAGCATTTTTTAATCAAGTATCATTGGGGGTGGTGGTGGTTATATATTTCTATCTCTGAACTCTCAATATTTATAACTTTTTTTCACTCACTTTTCAAAGTATTTGTGGTACTGAGGAGATTCTTTGTTTTCCAAAATCTGGACATACCACAGTGTAGAAGATAACTGTACAAAATACTTTATTGTAGCACACAACTTTCCTGTTGCCCTGGGTTAACTCTGCCCTCCTAGGCTTTGCAAGTTGATGTAGCCACGTAAGTAAGTCTTTGAGCGTGAGTCATAACGAAGAAACATCTTAAAAGTTCGTAAAGCGGTGAGCAGCCTTGGCCTTCCTCCAGAAGTTAGGGTTAGGGTTAGGGTTCTTGCACTTGTCGGGATGAGAGGCCGTCGCAGCGTGGCTGCTCCTCTTGGGTGGCTACTGGCTCCAGGCTGAGCCCTCTGAGCCGGGATCCAGGCGGGAATCACACCACAGCGGCCTGCTTTCCGTAGCTTGTGGTCCTGGCAGTTGAGCTTGTCTGAAATGATCGTACATTCCAGTTGTTGCTTCCCGCTTCCTCATCTGCCCGTCATCTTCTTTTTCTCTCCTACACAGCCACACTTTTGTCGGCTAAGGACCCTAGTAGCTCAGCTAAGTAGTGGTTCAGCTAAGTAGAAATAAATTGCATTTATTTCTACTTAGCTGAACCAGTTTTTCAGAACCTTCATACTTCGCAGAGCCTCCCCCCCAAAAAGTGCATCACTCTCTACCATCTATTAGCATTATTATTTATTATTCATTACCACTGTTCTTATACTGCTGATTCACAGCCAATGCCACCAGTTAAAATCCATACTGTAAATTAACCATCAAAGTACGTAAACCAAAGGTAAAAAATAAACAACAACAAAAGTTTATTGTTTCATAGCAAGGGCTATACTTGAAAGGGGTTAACTCACAGTAAATACAAATGACGCTCCCTTTAGCTCAGAATAGATGGTGGTTGTAGGGAGTAATGAAGAACGATGAGAGAGAGAAATGGTCAGGTAAAAAGAGATTTAATTTTCAGTTGCTCTCACGGGCTCCTGATGCTCGGTGGCCACATTGTCCAGTGCAGGATTCCTGGGATGACAGGTCGCTGCAGGGAACTCGGGGACCCCCTTGGATCAGGTTGCACCCACGCTTGGCTGAGCATCAGAAGACCGTACAATTTAAGCGGTTATGAAGTGGATGGTTACAGCCATTTACGCGAATGGGGCAATCAGTGCTAGAAAGGACTGGAAAGACACAGGAAGACTCATTTTTTCTCCTTCGAGCAGAACGGAAAACAGACCGAGGGATGGGTTACGGGTGTTGCTTTATAACTGCATATTGCGGCTGCCAGTACAACTTGGAATAGTTGTTGCTTCTTTACCTGTCATCTAGATTTATTCACCATCTATTTGAAAGTGCATAGTGATTACTTTGATGCTGAGTTTTGTGCTGTGAAAAACTAGAAATTTCCACTGAGATGACTCCAACATCTCTTTCTCATTATGCTGTTTTTTTCCCCCTCGTCTAATTGATAGGTTCCTACCTTCGCTTGTCTCTCAGCTTCCGAATCAAACGGAACATTGGTTACTTCATCCTGCAGACATATATGCCTTCTATTCTCATCACTATTCTTTCCTGGGTCTCTTTCTGGATCAATTATGATGCCTCTGCAGCCCGGGTTGCCCTAGGTATGTCCGGAGATTGGCCTAGACTTGAGACTGAGTTGGCTGCAACAGCAGAAATATGTTTATCCCGAATGCTTTAAGAAACTGGGATGGTTTTCTGAACGTTTGTAGTGGTAAGCAGTGGGTGGTGGGAAGGATCAGGAAGGTGGCAGGGAAGATCCTGTTTTCTTTTTCAAGATGCAAAATTGTTTCCTAAGGATGTAAATTTATCAGTAATGCTCTTTTGTTCTCAGAAGCTCTGCGAAATCTAGGAATTTATCTTGCCTGTGAAAACTGAGAGGCTAACACAAACAGGAAAATGTTATTCAACCTTTGAAGTCAGGGCCTTGGCTATGATTATTAACCATCTGTGTGTGCCTCTACTGGATTTGGGCGGCCAATAAATTTAAATAAATAAATAAATAATAATAAATAATATTTCTGCCCCCCAGACTAATTATCAAAAGCAAATATGACCTTACTGATTTTGTTTGGATGCTTAATTTTATCCAGCATGCTTGCTGAATTCCCTTGTAAGTACCAATAGCAGTTAGTGGTTCTCCAGGGTTATTTTGTTATCTGTACAGCCACTGTATTTTGCATAAAGGAAGACCTGGGGCAAGTCTGATTTGGTCAAAATATTTCTGGAATTGACAAGGAAAATTAAAGAGTCTGGATCAGGTAAACATGCTTTTTAAAATGAAAGTGAAATATCACTTACGGTAATATTTTTGATTGCCTTTTTGAAAAATGAATCCCAGAAATTAAACTTGAACTTTTAAAATGTCTGAATTTTGACAGTTCAGATTATTCATATTCTTATTTTGATGATGATGATGATGATTGTTATAACACAGTCGCCAAAATGATTTACTGGAACATCTGTAAAAATTATCACGTGCCAGTAGTGAAAAATTCGTGAGAACGTATAGTTGAAAAAGTAGCCAAAAATGAGCAGGTTAAACTATTGTGGGATTTCCAAATACAAACTGATAAAGTCTTGGTGCATAACACACCAGATTTAAC